CTGAGCTCTACCGAGTCAGACCTGCGGCCTGCAGCGGGCCCGTCGCAGATCTGCTAACCCACATATTAACACCACCATACGTATGGGATTTACAGTATCCACATTTAACAAGACGGACAATCTCCATGACCGACTAACTGTGGTGTTGAGACACGCTTTCAATAAGGGGGATACTAAGTCTAAATGATGCAGGTGTAAATAAGCTTTGACTTTTCTTCTATAACATTCAACCAGTTCTCTCTAGGCTCCCGTTTAATACAAGCAAGGCTATTGTTATAGAAAGTTAAAACACTATATTTGGATTGGGATTTGTTTGTCTGTGACTAATTCTTATGATTAAATAAGTTTAATCTAAATTAAATAAAAGGGTTTTGGGCTACTGACATGAAACACTAATGCGAGATGTATGTGTCCGTACTCATGTGTCTGTATTAGTATGCACTGATTTCTTTGTGTTTGTAATGGAAAAGTGTCTTTTATTTCCCTTGCTTGTGCTGGAGCACAGTTTCATCTCGTGGGCTCCCACTGAAGCAACACAGCCATCTCCATTTTTTTTTTTTCTAGGAGAACTTTTAAAATCGGCTGCCAAGATTCATTCTCACAACCTCTAGCAAAAAGAAGCAGGAGATCTCTGCATTGCAGTGGCTCTTGCCTGTGTCCAATCTGGATTGGACTCTCTAAACAGGGTCTTTTTAAGCTTTTTTTCTCCCCACGTGTTGAAGAAACAGATGCAGAGACTTGGGACCCTGAATGACAGGGCCAGCAAATGTGGCAGATCGTGAAAGTGACCATGACCAGTTGAAGGATGTAGAGCGGAGAGGATGAGGATGATGAAGGAAGTTTGACCTGGGATATTTCATATTCTGTCGAAATAAATAATCCTGTGATTGTTGGTGGAATCTAGAATGTGCTGGAAGGCATGTGCAAGTACTGTATAATGAAGAAATGTATCTTAAGAGGCGTCCTATACACTGAGATGAGTTTTATGGTGTACAGAAAAGACATTCTCAAAACTACCAGGATACTATT